CCAAGTGTCACCTGTGGCTTCAGGTGCCACCTGTGGGGCCAGGTGTCACCTGTGGACTCCTGTGTCACCTTTAGGACCGAGTGTCACCCGTGGCCTCACGTGTCACCAGCGGGACACGTCCCTCGTGTCCTCACATGTCACCCACAGCTTCGCGTGTCACCGCCCTGTCCCCTGTGGCCGCTGCCACCCCTGTGTCCCCTCTGTGCTGACGTCACCATGGGCGCACACGTCCCCCCACGGCTTCCTGTGTCACCTGCGTCACCTGTGCCACCCACGGTGCCACTGACACCGACTGTCCCCTCTGGTGACAGTGTCCCTTTTGTCACAAGCGGGCTCCAGTGCCACCCCTGGGCTGGGGGGTCCTGAGGCCCCCCAGTGTCCCCAGTGGTGTCCCCAGTGTCCCCAGTGGTGTCCCCAGTGTCCCCTGTCACCCTGTGCTGGTGCTGCCGGAGCCACAAAGCCACAACTGGGACACGGCCCCGGGGCAGGAAATGTGCGGGGCCCAGTACGGGACTGGGAGCTCCCAGTATGGCCCCAGTATGGCCCAGTATGGGATTGGGAGCTCCCAGTATGGCCCAGTATGGCCCAGTATGGGATTGGGAGCTCCCAGTATGGCCCCAGTATGGCCCAGTATGGGATTGGGAGCACCCAGTATGGCCCAGTATGGCCCAGTACGGGACTGGGAGCTCCCAGTATGGCCCAGTACAGGACTGGGAGCTCCCAGTATGGCCCAGTATGGCCCAGTACAGGACTGGGAGCTCCCAGTATGGCCCAGTATGGCCCAGTACGGGACTGGGAGCTCCCAGTATGGCCCAGTACAGGACTGGGAGCTCCCAGTATGGCCCAGTATGGCACTGGTGAGATCCCAGTATGGCCCTGGCCTGGCACTGCCACTTGTGCAAGGCCCTTACCCAGCTGCTCCTCCACCTGCACACGCGTGTGACACACCTGGACACGTGTGACACACCTGGACACGTCTGACACCCTCCAGACACATGTGACACACCTGCACACGCGTGTGGGACACCCTGGACATGTCTGCCAGCCCTGCCACACGCATGTGACAGCCCCGGACACGTGTGACACCCCGGACACGTGTGACACCCCACTCACATGTGACCCCCGGACACGTGTGACACCCCAGACACGTGTGACATCCCACACACGTGTGTCACCCCCGCTCCCTCCCCCCCGCCCCGTTTTCCTCCTGCCCCAGTTTTTTGGGGCCGGCGCCGCCCGCGCATCCGGCCCGGGGGGGGCCCAGGGGGCCCGGGGGGAACCGGGGGGGACCGGGGGCACCGGGCCCAGGGGGGACCCCGGGTTTGGGGGCGCTGAGTCAGCCCCGCGCCCCGAATTACTCAGCCCGTGCCGAGAAGCGCCGCGGCGGGGGCCGCTCCTGCCGGGAACCGGCGGGCGGAGGGCGCCGGGGGCACCCACGGGAACGGGGAGAACTGGGGGCACCGGGGGCACCCACGGGAACGGCGGGCAGCGGGGAAAATGGGGCAAGCACCGCGTTTGGGGGTACTGGGAGAACTGGGGGCACTGGGAGCCCTTGAGGCCCCATCACACCGGGGGTTACCGGGGCGCTCCCAAACCCCGCGGGTACCGGGGGCACCGGGGACAGCGGGGAACGGGGGGAAACCGGGGGCACCGGGGCAGCCACAGCACCGGGGAAGCGGGGACACCGCAGCGCCCGGGGGGGAACGGGGATTCCGCGGGTACCGGGGGAGTCTGGGGCACCGGGAAACACCGGGGGCTGCCGTAAGGCGGGGACTCGCGAAATGGGGGCACTGGGAGCACTGGGAGCACTGGGGGCAATGGGGGCACTGGGAGCACTGGGAGCACTGGGAGCACTGGGAGCACTGGGGCAATGGTGGTGCCCGTGCCCGGTGTCTTCTCCCGGCACCGGCGGCAACCGGAGCCGCACCAGCGGCACCAGTAACGGACTGGGATGGACTGGGACACACTGGGAACGAACTGGGACACACTGGGACGCACAAACCCTCACCGGTGTCCGCCATCCCCACCCCCGGTCCCATCGCCCCCGGGCGCTGTCACCTCCTTGTCCCCACAACTCCTGGGGACACCCCAGGAGCGCCCCGGGCACCGCGACACGGGGGGGACAGGGAGGGGACACGGAGGGGGACAGGGGAGGGGACACAGAGGGGACACGGAGGGGACACGGACGGGACAGTGGGGACAGCGCTGAGGACACGGAGGGGACAGTGGGGACACGGAGGGGACAGGGAGGGGACAGCGGGGACAGCGCTGGGGACAGGGAGTGGACACGGAGGGGACAATGGGGACACGGAGGGGACACGGAGGGGACAATGGGGACACGGAGGGGACAATGGGGACACAGAAGGGACAATGGGGGACACGGAGGGTCCCCAGCGCCCCGGGGCGCCCCTCCCCGTTTCCCGCGGGTTGGCGGTGGCGGCGCCACCTGCGCGTCCCCGCCGTTGTCACCGCAGGGTCCCCCCCGGGGTCCCCCCCCGGCGCCGCCGCCACATCAAGGGAGGGACCCGCAGGTGCGGGGGGGGGACAGGGACACGCGGGGACACGTGTGACAGCCCGGGACACGTATGTGACACCTGACACACGGGTGACAGCCCGGGACACACGGGTGGCACCTGACACATGTGTGTGGGACCTGTGACACGCATGTGGGATGTGTGACACACGGGTGACAGCCTGTGACACACGCGTGACACCTCACACAAGTGTGTGGGGCCTGTGACACGCACGTGGGACGTGTGACACGGGTGTGTGACCTGCGACACACGTGTGACAGCCTGTGACACATGTGTGGGACATGTGACATGCGTGCGATCCCCAAAACACGCGAGTGCAGCTCACAAGAGCCCTGTGCACGCTGTGACACACCTGTGACACACCTGTATGGCCTGTGACACGCGTGTGAGCCCTGTGACACACCTGTACAGCCCAAAACACACGCCTGTGTCCTGAAACACGCGTGAACACCCTGAAACAGGCGTGTGCAGCCTGTGACACAAGTGACACATCTGTGACACACCTGTACAGCCTGTCCCACATGTGTGTGCAGCCTGTGACACACCCGTGCTCCCCGTGACACACATGTACACCCTGACACAGACATGCACAGCCCGTGACACACCTGTGTGCCCTGTGACACGCTTGTGCACACTGTCACACACATGTACACCCCGAAACAGGCGTGTGCACACTGTGACACACGTGTGTGTCCTGACACGGGCACGTGCAGCCCGTGACGCACCCGTGCGCCCCCTAACAGGCGTGTGCAGCCTGTGACACGTGTGTGCGACCCGTGACACGCATGAACAGCCTGTGACACACCCGTAGAGCCTGTGACACACTCGTGCACCCCGAAACACGCGTGAGCAGCCCGTGACACACCCGTGCACGCTGTAACACGTGTGTGTGCCCAGTGACACACATGAACAGCCTGTGACATGCATGTGCAGCCTGTGACACATCTGTGTGCCCCATAACAGGCGTGCACTGCCCGTGACACACACGTACACCCTGAAACACGCGTGTGCAGCCTGTGACACACGTGTGTGACCTGTGACACACATGAACAGCCTGTGACATGCCTGTGTGCCCTCTGTGCAGCCTGTGACACACGTGTGCACCCTGTCACACATATGTACACCCTGAAACACGCGTGAACAGCCCGTGACACACCCGTGCACGCTGTAACACGTGTGTGTGCCCTGTGACACACATGAACAGCCTGAGACATGCGTGTGCAGCCCATGACACACCCGTGTGCCCTGTAACAGGCGTGCACAGCCCATGACACAACTGTGCTCCCCGTGACACACACGTACAGCCTGAAACACGCGTGTGCAGCCGGTGACACACGTGTGTGACCCGTGACACACCCATACAGCCCATGACACACCCGTGTGCCCCGTATCAGGTGTGTGCGGCCTGAAATGTGCACGCACAGCCCGTGACACGTGTGTGCTCCCCGTGACCCGCACGTACAGCCTGAAACACGCGTGTGCAGCCTGTGACACACGCGTGTGACCCGTGACACACCCATACAGCCCATGACACACCCGTGTGCAGCCTGAAATGTGCACGTACGGCCCGTGACACGTGTGTGCAGCCTGTGACACACGCGTGTGCAGCCCGTGACACACGCGCACACCCACACCCACCGCAAACCCCGACCTTTGCACACCCGCCCCTCGCCGCCCTCGCGCACGCGCGTGTGCAAACACCCCGCACCCCCCCCCCCCCCACACCTTTGCACACACCTGGGGCTGCCCCCGCCCCCTTTGCACACCGCACGCTCGGCCCCGCCCCCTTTGCACGCTCGGCCCCGCCCCCTTTGCACGCCCACCCCTCCCTTGCACGCGCGCGTGCCCCGCACCTCTCATGGCTCCGGCTCCCTCCCAGCCCCGGCCCGGGCGGGGCCCCTTTAAGGACTCGGGGCTCCCCCACCCCCGCCCCCTCCCACCCACCACGCCCCCCAACCCCCAAAATTTCCCCGCCCCCCCCCCCCCCCCCCCCGGGCATCCTGCCCCTCCCCCCCCCCCCGCCCCCCCAAAAAAAACCACCAAAAAAACAAAAAACGCGGGAAATTTCCGAATTTCCCCGCAGGGAAACTGAGGCACGGACGGGGAGGGATGGACCCCAAATCCTCCCAAAGTTGCCATTTTTGGGGTGCAGAGACGCCCCGAGCCCCCAAAACTCCCAATTTTGTGGTTCAGAGACCCCAAATTTCCCAGTTTATGGGGTGCAGGGACCCCGAACTCCCCCCCCGGGCTCCATTTTGGGGTAGGGGGACAGAGACCCCAAAGTTCCCGGTTTGGGGCACAGAGACCCCAAAGTTCCCAATTCTGGGGTGCCCCCCCACCCGTCCCCGTGTCCCCCCCTTGGGGACCCCGCGGTGGCAGCAGGGGGGACACGGGGGTGCCACCCCCCCCCCCGTCCCCACCCAGGACCCCAAAGTGACACAAGGGACACGAGGGGTGGTGGCAGCGGCCGTGATGGGCACGGGGACAGCCCTGGGGACACTTGGGGACATGGGGGGGGGACACGGCGGGGACATTTGGGGACATCCAGGGGTGGCTGAGGGAGAGCCAGGGTGGCACTGGGGGACAGGGAGGGCACCGAGGGTCACACGGGTGGCACGGGAGGTGGCACAGGTGACACGGGTGGCACAGGAGGTGGCACAGGTGACACGGGTGACAGTCACCGGCCACTGTCCCCTCCCTGTGCCGGCTCCTTGGGGGGATCCAGCTGGATGAAGAGCCCTGGGGACAGAGGGGACACCTCAGGTGGGGACCCACAGTGTCCCCAAGTGTGTCCCCACCCCTCCCAGTGTCCCCAGATGTGTCCCCACCCCTCCCAGTGTCCCCACATGTGTCCCTAGCCCTGTCCCCAGTGTCCCTCACTGGTGGCCCTGGTGTGCAGCATTGAGCCCAATGTCCCCAGTGTCCTCAAGCTGTCCCCAGTGTCCCCAGAGTGTCCCCATGTCCCTCACTGGTGGCCTTGGCATGCAGCGTTGTCCCCAGGCTGTCCCCAGTGTCCCCAGGCTGTCCCCGGTGCCCCCAATGTCCCCAGGCTGTCCCCAGTGTCCCCATGTCCCTCACCAGTGGCCTTGGTGTGCAGTGTTGTCCCCAGTGTCCCCAATGTCCCCAGGCTGTCCCCAATGTCCCCATGTCCCTGGTGTCCCCAATGTCCCCAGGCTGTCCCCAATGTCCCCATGTCCCTGGTGTCCCCAGGCTGTCCCCAGTGTCCCCAGGCTGTCCCCAATGTCCCCAGGTTGTCCCCAGTGTCCCCGTGTCCCTCACCGGTGGCCTTGGCGTGCAGCGTTGTCCCCAGTGCCTCCAATGTCCCCGTGTCCCCAATGTCCCCAATGTCCCCAGGCTGTCCCCAATGTCCCCAGGCTGTCCCCAATGTCCCCAGTGTCCCCAGTGTCCCCGTGTCCCTCACCGGTGGCCTTGGCGTGCAGCGTTGTCCCCTCAGCGTCCCACAGGTCACAGCCCAGGAAGAGCTTCCGGCCCTGCTGGCGCTGCAGGAACGCCTCGAGCAGGAGCACCGAGAGCAGGGGGACAGGCCTGGGGACAGCGGGGGACACCGGGGACACACAGTGACACCAGGGCCCCCTGTGCCACCCCTGTCACCGTCACAGCCCCTCTGTGCCACCCCTGTCACCGTCACAGCCCCCAGTGTCCTCTTTTGTCCCCTGCCCCGGTCACCCCCGGGTCCCTTCATGGCCACTCCAGTCACCCCCATGTCCCCTAATGTCACCTCAGCGTCGCCCTGGTCCCCACCCTGTCCCTCCTCTGCCCCCCTGGCCACCCCAATGTCCCTTGTGTGTCACCCTGTGTCCCCCCCGGTCATCCCAGTGTCCCCTGTCACTCTCATGTCCCCTTGTGTCCCCCTAGGTGTGTGTGCCCTCCCCTGGGGACACTCACACCACCCTTGGGGACATTTGAGACACCCTTGGGGACACCCAGACCCTCCTTGGTGACATCCCCTGGCCCTTTGGGGACACTCACACCATCCTTGGGGACATTTAAAACACCCCTGGGGACACCCCCCGACCCTTGGGGACACCTCCTGGCCCTTTGGGGACACTTAAACCCTTCTTGGGGACACCCTCTGGGAACACTCCTGCCACCCTTAGGGACACCTAAGACACCCTTGGGAACACCCCCTGACCCTTGGGGACATCTCCTGGCCCTTTGGGGACAGACACACCACCCTTGGGGACACTCATCCCCTCCTTGGGGACACCCAGCCCCTCCTTGGGGACACCCCTTGACCCTTGGGGACACCGCTGGGGACAGTGGCACTCACGCCAGGTAGTCGATGCTGAGGTTGGCTGTCACCACCCGCCCGGCCACCGCCAGCGCCAGCGTCCCCAGGGAGGTGTCAATGAGGGTGGCGATGGCACCGCCGTGGGCCAGCCTGGGGACATCGGGGACATCATTGGGGACAGCTGGGGGAGATGGGGACAGCAGGGACATGGGGACAGCACGGGGATATTGAGGACAGCAGGGGACATGAGGGTGACAGATGGCAGCAGCGCCACACAGGGGACAGGAGGTGACAGGGGGGTCACCCCAGGTGTCCCTGTGCGAAGAGCCTGGGTTGGCACAGGAGGTGACAAGAAGTGACATTCAGTGACAATAGGTGACAGCGGGTGACAATGGGTGACAATGGGTGACAGTGACTCACCCCGGGTGTCCCTCGAGGAAGGGCCCCAGCTGGCACAGGCAGCGCAGGCGGCCCTTGGGGACATTCAGGAACATGACAAACTCGAAGCCGTCCCCGTCACCCTCGATGGCCCTCGGGAACAGCCGCGTGTCCCTGTCCCTGTCACTGTCCCTGTCACCGTCACCGGGCAGCCCCAGCATCTCTGCGGGGACAGCGCTGTCACCAGGCTGGGGACACTGGGGACATTGGGGACACTGGGGACATGGGGACACAGGTGACACAGGTGACAGTAGTGACACAGGGATACAGGGATACAGTGACACAGTGACAATGACAATGACAGGTGACACAGTGACACAGTGCCACTCACAGGGACAGTATCTCCGGTAGCTGGGCAGCCGTGCCCACGGTCACACAGTGACACAGTGACAATGACACAGTGACAATGACAGTCACACAATGACACAATGACAATGACACAATGACAATGACACAGTGTCAATGACAGTCACACAATGACACAATGACAATGACACAGTGTCAATGTCACCCACATAGGCAGTACTGTCAGTAGGATGGCAGCCGTGCCCACGGTGACACAGTGACAATGGCACAATGACAGTGACACAATGACACAGTGACACAGGTGACAATGACACAGTAACACAGTGACACAGTGACACAGGTGACAATGACACAGTGACACAGGTGACAATGACACAGGTGACAATGACAGTGCCAGTGTCACTCACGGGGGCGGTACCGCCGGTACGATGGCAGCCGTGCCCAGCCCTCCTCCCGGGCCCACAGTGACACAGTGACAATGACACAGGTGACAATGACACAATGACACAGTGACACAGGTGACAGTGACACAGTGACAATGACACAATGACAGTGCCAGTGTCACTCACAGGGGCGGTACTGCCGGTACGATGGCAGCCGTGCCCACAGTGACACAGTGACAATGACACAATGACACAGTGACACAGGTGACAGTGACACAGTGACAATGACACAGTGCCAGTGTCACTCACGGGGGCGGTACCGCCGGTACGATGGCAGCCGTGCCCAGCCCTCCTCCCGTGCCCATGGTGACACAGTGACAATGACACAGGTGACAATGACAGGTGACAGTGACACAGTGACACAGGTGACAGTGACACAGGTGACACAGGTGACAGTGACACAGTGCCAGTGTCACTCACGGGGGCGGTACCGCCGGTACGATGGCAGCCATGCCCACAGTGACACAGTGACACAGTGACACAATGACACAGTGACACAGGTGACAGTGACACAGGTGACACAGGTGACAATGACACGGTGCCAGTGTCACTCACGGGGGCGGGTACCGCCGGTACGATGGCAGCCGTGCCCACAGTGACACAGTGACAATGACACAGGTGACAATGACAGTGACACAATGACACAGTGACACGGGTGACAATGACACAGGTGACAATGACACGGTGCCAGTGTCACTCACGGGGGCGGTACTGCCGGTACGATGGCAGCCATGCCCACAGTGACACAGTGACACAGTGACACAATGCCACAGTGACACAGGTGACAATGACACAGTGCCAGTGTCACTCACGGGGGCGGTACCGCCGGTACGATGGCAGCCGTGCCCAGCCCTCCTCCCGGGCCCGCTCCAGCTGTTGCCGGTGGTGGCGCCGCATGCGCTCGCTCCAGCCGGGGTTGGGGACAGCCAGGTCCCGCAGGGGGGGACACGGCCGGTGGCAGCGGCGCCGGGGACACGGCACAGGGGACAGGGCCCGAGCCACCGCCCGGGCGCCGCGCAGCATGGCCAGGGTGGCACCGGGGTGGCACTGCAAGGTCACTGCGATGGCACCGCGATGTCACCGGAATGCAACCGCGATGTCACCGCGATGTCACTGAGATGTCACTGCAATGTCACCGTGATGTCACAACGAGGTCACCGGCGCTGTCACTGCGATGTCACTGTGATGTCACTGCAAGGTCACCACGACATCACCGTGATGTCACCGTGATGTCACCGTGATGTCACCACAATGTCAATGTGATGCCACCACGGACATCACCGTAACATCACCACAATGTCACCGTGACGTCACCACAATGCCACTGTGATGTCACTGCAATGTCACCGCAATGTCACCGGGGTCACAGCGCTTGGTGACAGCACCGGTGACGTCACACAGGGACAATGAGGTCACACCTGGTCGGTGATGTCACCGGTGATGTCACACCTGGTTCCTGGTGACATTGGTGATGTCACGCCGGCCACTGAGCTCCCTGCCGACGTCACTGCTGTCGCTGCTGATGTCACACCTGGTCAGTGACGCCGGCCGTGATGTCACACCCGCTGGTGACGTCACCGCCGGTGTCACACCAGCCCCCGCCCCGCTGCCCGTGACGTCACCCGTCCCCAGCCCCGCCCCCGGCCGATGTCCCCGTGTCCCTCCCGGTCCCTGCCCCGCTCTGTCCCCCCTGCCCGGCCCTTCCCCTCTGTCCCCTCCGTGTCCCCGCTCTCCGTCCCCAGCCCTGCCCGGACCCGCGTGCGCCGGGGCCCCGCCCACCGTCGTGACGTCACGGCGCTTCCGGGTTTCCCCGCTTCCGGGGGCGGGGCCTGGAGGACCGGAACGGAGCCGTGTGGAGCCCTACAGAGAGAGACCCTATAGAAACCCTATAGAAAACCTACAGAGACCCGATAGAGACTCTAGAGAGAACCTTATAGAGTCCGATGGAACTCTATGGATCCTATAGAGACCCTACAGAGAACCCTATAGAGAGAGACCCTATAGAGACCTATGGAAGCCCATGGAACCCTATGGAACCCTACAGAGACCCTACAGCGACCCTATAGAGACTCTAGAGAGAACCTTACAGAGTCCTATGGAACTCTATGGATCCTATAGAGACCCTACAGAACCCTATAGAGAGAGACCCTATAGAGACCCTACAGAGATCCCCCATGCAACCCCACAGATCCCCTATAGATCCCCTATGCACCCCCCTGGGCCCCACTGTCACCCCACAGAGCTCCCCTACAGCCCCAACCGCCCCGAGTGTCCCCAAAGGGATCCCAAAGGGACCCCAAAATGGCCCCAAAGGGACCCCAAAATGGCCCCAAAGGGACCCCAAGAACAGTGAGAGCCCCAGTTCATACAAAACCCTTTATTGGGGGGTCAGGGCAGCACCCCTGGGTGGGGGCACCCATGGGGGGGAGGGGGGGGGGCACTGAAGGGTCCCAGCAGGAGCCAGGGGGGCTGGGGGCACCCATGGGTGGGGGGGGCACCCATGGGGGGGGGGTCAGGACCCCAAATCAGGGTCAGGACCCCAAATGAGGGTCAAGGCACACGTTTAGGGTTAAGGGAGGATCCAAGGCAGGTTTGGGGTGACACCCCCGGGTGGGTGGGGGGCACCCATGGGTGGGGGTCTCAGCTCCTCAGGAGGGGTTCAGGACATTTTGGGGGGGTCAGGATCTTTGGGAAAGGGGTCAGAACCCCAAAGGGGGATCAGGGCACACATTTAGGGTTGGGACAGGATCCAAGGCGGGTTTGGGGTGACACCCCTGGGTGGGTGGGTGGGGGGCACCCATGGGTGGGGGTCTCAGCTTGCAATGGGGGGGCGTCAGGACCCCCAGATGAGATCAGGACCTTTGTGGGGAGAGATGAGAACCCCAAAGGGGGATCAGGCACACATTTGGGATTGGGGCAGCATCCAAGGCGGGTTTGGGGTGACACCCCCGGGGGGGTGGGTGGGGGGGCACCCATGGGTGGGGGGCTCAGCGGCGGCCGCGCTGCTTCATGTGCTGCACGAAGTAATCGTTGCAGGCGATGGTGAGCCCGGCCACCAGCGAGAAGAAGCCCTGGAAGCCAACGCGGCCATCGCGGCTCTGCTCAACGTCCCGCAGGATCCGGTCCAGGGCGTTGGGGTCCCGCTGGTTCTGGGGGAAAAACAGGGGAAAATGGGTCAGATCCTAAATGGGAATGGGGTCAGATCCTAAATGGGAACGGGGTCAGATCCCACATGGGAACAGGGTCAGATCCCACATGGGAATGGGGTCCCACAGGATCCAATCAAAGGCGTTGGGGTCCTGCTGGTTCTGGGGGAAAAAATGGGGGAAAAAGGGTCAGATCCTAAATGGGAATGGGGTCAGATCCTAAATGGGAATGGGGTCAGATCCTAAATGGGAACGGGGTCAGATCCCACGTGGGAATGGGGTCAGATCCTAAATGGGAATGGGGTCAGATCCTAAATGGGAATGGGGTCAGATCCCACGTGGGAACGGGGTCAGATCCCACGTGGGAATGGGGTCAGATCCTAAATGGGAATGGGGTCAGATCCCACATGGGAACAGGGTCAGATCCCACGTGGGAACGGGGTCAGATCCCACATGGGAATGGGGTCAGATCCCACATGGGAACAGGGGCAGATCCCACGCACTGCTCCATGTCCTGCAGGATGGGGTTCAGGGTGTTGGGGTCCCGTTGGTTCTGAGGGAAAAAGGGTCAGATCCTAAATGGGAACAGGGTCAGATCCTAAATGGGAACGGGGTCAGATCCCACATGGGAATGGGGGAAATGGGGGGATCATGACCTCCTGATCCCAAGGTTTTACAGGAGCTGATCCTGGGGTGCTGTGGGGTTCTATCCCAGAGTTTATGGGATCCAGTCCCGGGATTCTATAGGGTTTGATCCTGGGGTTTATGGGATCCCATCCCAAGGTTTATGGGGTCTGATTCCAGGGTTCTATAAGATTTGATCCCAAGGTTTATGGGATCTGACCCCAGAGCTCTATGGGATCCAATCCTGGGATCCTATAGGGTTTGATCCCAGGGTTTGTGGGATCCCATCCCAAGGTTGATGAGGTTTGATCCTGGGGTTTACAGGATCTGATCCCAGAGTTCTATGGGATCCAGTGTGGGGGTCTGTAGGGTTTGATCTCACGGTTCTGTCTGGTTTGATCCCAGGGTTTATGGGATCCCATCCCAAGGTTGATGAGGTTTGATCTCGGGGTTCTCTACCTCCCACTGATCTCATCCCATGGATCCCATGCCATGGATCCCATAGATGCCATCCCATGGATCCCATAGATCTCATGGATCCCATAGATGCCATCCCATGGATCCCATAGATCCCATCGATGAAATCTCATGGATCCCATCCCATGGATCCCATCAATGTCATCTCATGGATCCCATTGATCCCACCCCATGGATCCCACCTCATGATCCCATAGATGCCATCTCATGGATCCCATTGATCCCACCCCATGGATCCCACCTCATGATCCCATAGATGCCATCTCATGGATCCCCATCCTATGGATTTCACCCCATGGCTCACATAGATCCCATCCCATCCCATCCCATCCCATCCCATCCCATCCCATGGACCCCATGGATGCCATCTCACAGATCCCATCCCATGGATCCCATAGATGCCATCTCATGGATCCCATCCCATGGATCCCATCCCATCCCATGGACCCCATGGACCCCACAGAGCCGTGCCCACCTCGAGGAACCCTGGGAACTCCTTGTCCATGAGGGCCCTGAGGTCCTCCTTGGCCAGGTGCTCCTTGTCCCCCGCGTACTTGTGGAAGGTGAACATCAGCGTCTCCATGGCGTGCTCCAGCTGCGACGGCATCCTGCCTGGGGCTGCCAAGATCCTGGTGAGAAACACAAAATCCCGATGGGAAAACCTAAAATTCCTGATGGGAAACCCAAAATTCCTGATGGGAACCCGAAATTCCTGATGGGAAACCCGAAATCCCTGATGGGAAACCTGAAATTCCTGATGGGAACCCAAAATCCCAATGGGAAACCTGAAATTCCTGATGGGAAACCTGAAATTCCTAATAGGAACCCAAAATCCCAATGGGAAACCTGAAATTCCGGATGAGAAACCTGAAATTCCTAATAGGAACCCAAAATCCCAATGGGAAACCTGAAATTCCTGATGGGAAACCTGAAATTCCTAATAGGAACCCAAAATCCCAATGGGAAACCTGAAATTCCTGATGGGAACCCAAAAAACCCCATTGGAAACTTGAAATTCCTGATGGGAACCCAAAAAACCCCATTGGAAACTTGAAATTCCTGATGGGAAACCTGAAATTCCTGATGGGAACCCAAAATTCCTGATGAGAACCCAAAATCCTAATGGGAAACCTGAAATTCCTGATGGGAAACTTGAAATTCCTGATGGGAACCCCAAAATACCAATAGGAAACACAAAGTTCCTGATGGGAATCCGAAATCCCAATGGGGAACCTGAAATTCCTAATGGGAACCCAAAATTCCTGATGGGAACCCAAAATCCCAATGGGAAACCTGAAATTCCTGATGGGAACCCAAAAAACCCCATTGGAAACTTGAAATTCCTGATGGGAATCCAAAATCCCAATGGGAAACCCAAAAATCCCAATGGGAACCCCAAAATTCCTGATGGGAAAACCAAATTCCTGATGGGAACCCAAAAACCCCCATTGGAAACCTGAAATTCCTGATGGGAATCCAAAATGCCAATGGGAAACCCAAAATGCCTGATGGGAACCTTAAAAATCCTGATGGGAACCCAAAAATCCCAATGGGAACCTTAAAAATCCTGATGGGAAACCCAAAAATCCTAATGGGAACCCAAAATTCCCAATGGGATCTCCCAAATTCCTCCTGACACTCCCAAAATTCTTCCTGGGACCCTCAAATTCCTCCTGGATCCCCCAATTCCCCCCCAGGGCCCCCCAAAATTCCTCCTGGATCCCCCAAATTCCCCCTGGACCTCCCAAATTCCCTCCTGGGACCCCCCAAATTCCTCCTGAACTCCCTAAATTCCCTCCTGGGACCCCCCAAATTCCTCCTGGACCTCCCAAATTCCCTCCTGGGACCCCCAAATTCCTCCTGGACCTCCCAAATTCCCTCCTGGGACCCCCAAATTCCTCCTGGACCTCCCAAATTCCCTCCTGGGATCCCCCAAATTCCCCCTGAACTCCCCAAAATTCCTCCTGGATCCCCCAAATTCCCTCCTGGGACCCCCGAAATTCCTCCTGGACCCCCCAAACTTCAATCCTGGGAGCCCCAAATTCTCCCTGAGCCCTCCAGAATTCCCCTGACCATCTCAAATTCATCCTGGATCCCCCCCAAATTCCTCCTGAGCCCCCTCACAATTCCTCCTGGATCCCCCAAATTCCCCCTCAACTCCTCACAATTCCTCCTGGATCCCCCAAATTCCTGATGCCACCCCCAAATTCCTCCTGGGACCCCCAAAAGTCCCCCTGAGCTCCCCCAAGATTCCCTCCTGGGACCCCTCCAAATTCCCCCCCGCGCCCCCACAAATCTCTCCTGGACGCCCCAAAATCCTTCCCGGGAACCCCAAAATTCGTGTTGCCACTCCCCAAATCCCTTCAGGATCCCCTAAAATCCCTCCAGGACGCCCCAACCCCCCCTCGCTCGCCGCGGATTTTCCAGGAATGTCCGGGAATGCTCCGGGCGTGACTCAGCGCGGGGGGGACACGAGGGGGACACGTCCCGAGGGTGTGGCCGCTGTGTCCCCCCCCCTCCTTGGGGACACCCCGGTGACTCACGGGGGGAGGGGTAGGGGCGGTCCCGCCTCAGGTCCCCCACCCAAAAATTTAAAAAAAAAATCCTAAAAAAAATGAAGGATCCTCCCTAAAATGACCCAGGACAAAATGGGAAGAGTTGAAAAAAAAAAAGAAAAGGGAACCGCCCCAAAAAAAGGAGGAATAGCTCAAAATGAGAGTCGCCCCAAAAAAAGGAGGAATCCTCCAAAAAGGAGGAATCCCCCAAAAAAGAGGAAAAGAGGAACCCCCCAAAAAAGAGGAACCCCCCCAAAAAAGAGGAAGCCCCCCAAAAAAGGAGGAAGCCCCCAAAAAAAGGAGGAATTCCCTCAAAAAGGAGGAATCCCGCCAAAAAGGAGGACACACCCAAAAAAAGGAGGAATCCCCCCAAAAAGGAGGAATCCCCCCCAAAAAAGGAGGAATCCCCCCCAAAAAAAGGAGGAATCCCCTAAAAAGGAGGAACGCCCCCAAAAAGGAAGAATCCCCCCAAAAAAAGGAGGAATCCCCCCCCCAAAAAAGGAGAATCCCCAAAAAAGGGGAATCTTCAAAAAAGGAGGAATTCCCAAAATGCGCCCCCCCCCCCAAAAAAAGGAGGAATCCCCCCAAAAGTGACCTCCCAGAAAAGGGGGACCCCCGAAAAAGGGGAACGCTCAAAAAAATGGAGGAACCGCCCCAAAAAGGAGGAATTCCCCCAAAAGTGACCCCCAGAAAATGGGAACCGCCCCAAGAAGGAGGAACCCCAAAAAACGATGGAACCACCCCAAAAGTGAACTTCCCAAAAGGGTGGGACCCCCAAAAAGGGTGAGACCCCCAAAAAGGGGGTTTGGGGATGGAAACCCCCCAAAGTGGGGGACAGGGATGGGGTCCCCCGAAGTGATGCTGAAAATTCCCCCCCCAAATCGGGGCGCGGGACCCCAAATGTGGGGACAGGATTGATCCGTCCCCAAATGGGGTTTGGGGATGGAGACCCCCCAAAAACGGACACCGGGATGGGGCCCCCCGGTACAGGGCCGGGAGGGGGACCCCAAAAAGGAATTTAGACCCCAAAGCGGGATTTGGGGATGGGGTTCCCCATTTTGGGGTGTGGGACCGAGCCCCCGTTCCCGTTACCGGGAGGGGGACCCCAAACCCGGGTTTAGACCCCAAACCGTGATTTGGGGATGGGGTTCCCCATTTTGGGGTGCGGGACCGAGCCCCCGTTCCCGTTACCGGGAGGGGGACCCCAAACCCGGGTTTAGACCCCAAACCGTGATTTGGGGATGGGGTTCCCCATTTTGGGATGCGGGACCGACCCTCCGTTCCCGTTACCGGGCGGGGGGACCCCAAATTGGAATTTAGACCCCAAACCGCGATTTGAGGATGGAGTTCCCCAGTTTTGGGGTGCGGGACCGAGCCCCCGTTGCCGGGGGTGCCGCTCTCACTCACCGTGCGGGGCTCGGTGCCGGTGCTCGGTGCCGGTGGCGGTGCGGGCAGTGCCGGGGCGCGGTCCGGCCCGGGATAGGCACGGCGGGGGCGGGCCGGACCGGGGGGCGCGGGCGGGGGGGGGCACCGTGACTCACCGGGACCGCCCGGACACCGCCCGGGCACCGCGCCCCGCCCCGGGCAGAGGCCCCCAGCGCCACCAGCGCCACCCGGGACGGCGGGGACACTCCCGGGACAGCGGGGACAGCACCGGGACCCCGCCGGGACAGCGGGGACAGCACCGGGACCCCCCTGGATCCTCCGGGGACACCTCCCGCTTCTGTTTCGGACACCACCGGGACAGCGGGGACACCCCCGGTTCTGTTCCGGGACCCCCCCGGGCACCACCGGGGAAGCGCCGGTGTGACCCTGGATAACCCCCCCGTGTGTGTCCCCCCCCCGTGTGTGTCCCCCCCCCGTGTCCCCTGGGTCCCTCCCCGGTGTCCCCCCAACCCCGGGGGGGCCTCACCGAGGTTCCCTCCCCGCCCCCGGTTCGGGGCCCGGCGCCGCGGTGGCGCGTGCCGCGCTAATGACACTAATTACAATTACAATCGTTAATTGCCGCGCCCCGGGGCAGCCGAGGAAGGGGGTGGGGGGGAGGGAAGGGGACACTGAGGGTGAGGGAGGGGACACACCCAGGTCACCCCCCCCTTCCCCCCGTGTCCCCTCCCTGCCCTGCCTCAGTTTCCCCACCCAGGAAGGGGCAAAGGTGAAGGGCCCCACCCGTGGGTGGGGAGCGCTCGGGGCCATGGGGGTGGCATTGCCCTCCCAGTTGTCGCCTCCTTGTCGCCAGGGTGTCCCCCCCGCCCTCAGGACGGGCTCCTCCTCCTCCTCCTCCCGCATTGTCCCCGTGCCCCTCCCGTTGTCCCCCTCATCCCCCCGCGCAGACCCCCTCAATCAACCCCACCCCACCGCTCTCCCCTCCCCTCAGAAGCCCTCCTGAACCTATCCCCACCCTCCCCTCCTCACCCCTTCCCAAAACGCCCCAAAAAAGACCTCAAAACACCAAAAATCATCAAAATCTCAGAGACCCCCCCCGAGACCCCCCTTGCAGCCCTCAGTTAAGATGGCGGCACCTCCGCCTCACGATTTCCAAGATGGCGCCCGCGCCGCCACGCGGCCCCGCGCTGCCAGGCTGCCCTTAATCAAGATGGCGCCCGTCCCGTGCTAACCAATAGCGCTGACGCCAACAGCAGAAACCCGGATGTAGCCGCCATCTTGCCCTCACCCAACATGGCGCCGCCCTCCCCGTGTTTACCTATGGGCGTGAAGCCGCGGCGGGCGCGCGGGTGCCCGGATGTGGGCGCGGCTCCGAGGCGGAGAAGGGGGCGTGGCCTCTGCCTGCCGGAAGTTGCGTCAGGGCGGAGCCGCCCGCAGGGAGCGGGGAGCGGAGCGGACGGAGCCAAGATGGCGGCGCCGGGGCTGGGCCGGCCCTGAGGGGCCGTGAGGGGCCGGGAGGGGCCCCCGCACTCGGCGGGCTGGGACGGGCCCGCAGGGGGGGCCCCGTCGCTCCCCCCGCCGCTCCTCGCGACGCTGACGCCGCCGGAGCCTCCCCGGGGCCTGACCAGAGCCTCCCCCGGGGAGACGCGGGGCCTGCTCGGGGCCTTTTGCGGCCTTACCGGGGCCTCCCCGCCGCCTTTCGGGGCTCGGCGGGGCCGTTTGGGGCATCCCCGGGCTCGGTGGTGCCGTTTGCTGCCTTACCGGGGCTGAACCGGGCCTTGACCGGCGCTTTTTGGGGTCGAACCGGGCCCTTCCCGAGGCCTCCGGGGTTGAACCGGGGCTTTGAGGTCCTTTGACGGAGCCCCCCGGTGCCCCCGGTTTTGGTTCTTTCTCGCTGGAATTCGGGGCCGATTTCAGCCGAAATCGCAGTAAAATCGGAGTTTTTTTGTTTGGTTTATTTTTTTTTAATTTGTTTATTTAACAGCGCTTTTCCCGTTTTTTTTTTCCGGGATTTCGGCTCCTCCCGAGGGTCAGAAAATCCCGGGATTTGAGGCCCAGCAGGAACGGGATGAAATTCCAAGGATTTCTTCAGCCCAGCGAGTTTTTTTGGGGTTTTTTATTGCGGTTTTTGTTTTGAGCGAATAAAATCCGCCAGAAATCCGCGATCCAGGGAATTCCTGCCTCGGGAATGTCGACCCTGGAACCGGGAATGACTTAAAGGCAACGCTTGGTTTTTCCTCGCTAAATTATTAATTAGGAAATTAAAAAATAATTTAAAAAAGGGTTTTTTTTTGGTGGGGGGGGGGGGGGGAATTGGGGAAAAATCCGGTGTTTTCCGGCAAGGACTGACAGCGCTCCCGGAATCGCTGGAACTTTGGGAGCCTCCGTGGGGATTTTTTTGGGGGAGATTTATTGGAAAGGAAAATCAAGGAGAAGGAAAAAAGGGATCGGAGATCGCCGAGAACGCCCGGGAGCCGCGATCGGGCACGGCTGAGGTGGGTCCGGGGGCTGGTTCGGGATTTAATTAATTGGGGATTGAATTAATTTGGGATTTAGCCGGGGGGGTGGGACAAGGGAGGGATCCAGGGAAGGTCGGGATGGATCTGGAGAGGATCAGGGTGGATCCAGGGATGGATCCAGAGGGTCCTGATGGATCTGCAGAGGTCTGGGATGGATCCAGAAGATCCTGATGGATCCAGAGAGGGTCAGGGTGGATCTGGAGAGGTCTAGGATGGATCTAAAGGGGTTTGGGATGGATCCAGAGAGTCCTGAAGGTTCTGGAGAGGTCTGGGATGGATCCAGAGAGGTTCAGGGTGGATCCAAAGAGGTTCAAGATGGATCCCGAGGGGTTTGGGATGGATCTTGAAGGTCCTGATGGAGCTGGAGGGGTCTGGGATGGATCTAAAGGGTTTTGGGATGGATCCAGAGGGTCCTGATGGATCCAGAGAAGTTCAAGATGGATCCAAAAGGGTTTGGGATGGATCCAGAGGGTCCTGATGGAGCTGGAGGTGCTTGGGATGGATCCAGGGATGGATCCAGAAGGTCCTGATGGATCCAGAGAGGTTCAGGATGGATCCAAAGGGCCTCAGGGTGGATCTAAGGAAGTTTGGGATGGATCCAGAGGATCCTGATGGAGATGGATGGGTTTGGGATGGATCTAGGGATGGATCCAGAGGGTCCTGATGGAGTTGGAGAGGTCTGAGATGGATCCTGGGAGGGATCCAGAAGGTCCTGATGGATCCAGAGAGGTTCAGGATGGATCCAAAGGGCCTCAGGGTGGATCTAAGGAAGTTTGGGATGGATCCAGAGGATCCTGATGGATCTGGAGAGGTCTGAGATAGATCCAGAGAAGTTCAAGATGGATCCAAAGGGGTTTGGGATGGATCCAGAGGGTCCTGATGGATCCAGAGAAGTTCAAGATGGATCCAAGGGGGTTTGGGATGGATCCAGAGGGTCCTGATGGAGTTGGAGAGGTCTGAGATGGATCTAGGGATGGATCCAGAAGGTCCTGATGGATCCAGAGAGGTTCAGGATAGAGCCAGGGAAGGTCAGGATGGATCTAAAGGGGTTTGGGATGGATCCAGAGAGTCCTGATGGAGTTGGAGAGGTCTGGGATCGATCCATGGATGGATCCAGAAGGTCCTGATGGATCCAAGGAATTTGGGGATGGATCAGGAGAAGCTCAGGAATTCAATTCCCACATTCCCAGCTGGTTCCAGAGCTGGGAATTCCCAAATTCCAGCCCCAAATTCCAGAGCTGGTTTTCCTTGGGATGTTTTGTCAGGAGCTTCCTCCTCCTCCTCCTCAGCCTCTGGAGCTCCTCTTCTTCCCAAAAAATCCAATTTATTGGGGCTGGGAATGGATTTTTGGGAATTCCTATTGGATTTAGGTGGTGAATTCATCAGAAAAAAAGAGGAAAATTCAGGATTAATCCAAATTTTTGGGAGTTTTTCCCCAGTTGTTTGGGAATTGTTCCTATCCCTGGGAACTGGGGGGGGAAAAGTCTCCTTCATGTCCATTTCCCTTGGAAAATTCACCTAAAATTTGGGATTTGGGCTTTTTCTCCCCACCCAGGCTGGGATTTTTAGGGATAATTCTGGAATTCTGACGGTTTTGGCCTGGATTTAGTGGGAAAAATTCCAAAATATCTGCAGAGATCCCATGGGGCTGAGCCCTGGGAAACTCCAGGAACTCGTTTTTCCCGTTTATCCCGAAATTATTTGAATGCTCCCGGAATTCTCTTCCTGGGAAAAGCCTCCAGAGAGGGGTGGGAGGGATTTTCTGAGAGATTTTGGGATCCTTGTGTTTTCCTGAGGGATTTTTCTTGCTCCTTTCTGAGGAAAATTCACGGATTTTTGGGGATTTCCACCTCCCACCCCTGTGGATTTTGGGATTTCAGGATTTTGGGAGTCATTGGAATCTTGGGATCTCCTCCACAGCCAGAATTCCCTGCTTGGGACCATTTTTGTGGATTTATTTTGGAAGTTTAATCCCTAAAATTCCCCTTTCCCAGGATTCAGCACTTCCATAAAACCTCAATTTTCCCAGATTTCTTTGGATTTTTTTCTGGCTTCCACAGGAGGAAAACCATCCAGGATCATTCCAGGGGGGTTGGTGCTGATGAATCCAAGGGTTTTTCCCAATTTTTGTACAATTCACCACCCAAATTGAGGGAAAAAAGAGACATTTTAAGGAAAATTCCCTAAAAAAAATGCAGGATCACAGCACCAGGTGCTTCCCATTCCTGTTTGCCCTGGAGCTGGGGCCAGGTTTTTTTTTTCCAGGGATTTTTTTGGAATTTCCTCCTTGGAGAGGAATTGGGGTGGGTGGGGGGTTCCTGTCGTGATCCCAATGTTTTCCCTTTGTTTGGGAGATTGTAGACAGGGAAAGGCTGGAGCGGGGACGGGGGTGGATCCCAGGGAAATCTGGGATTGAGGCCCTGATGGAAAATCCTGGGATTGGGGTTGGAATCCTGATAGGAAAACAGAGAGATTGGGGTCAGGATCCCAGTGGAAAATCCCAGAGATTGGGGTCAGGATCCCACTGGAAAATCACCAGGATTTGGGGTCAGGATCCCACTGGAAAATCCTGGGATTGGGGTCAGGATCCCAGTGGAAAATCCCAGAGATTGGGGTCAGGATCCTGAGTGGATTCCAATGGAAAATCCCCAGGATTGTGGTTGGGATCCTGATGGAAAAATGCAGAGACTGGGGTTGGGATCCCACTGGAAAATCCCTGGGATTGGGTTTGGGATCCTGATGGAAAATCTCTGGGATTGAGGTTGGGATCCTGAGTGGATCCCATTGGAAAATCCCTGGGATTTGGGTCAGGATCCTGATGGAAAACTGGAGAGATTGGGGTCAGGATTCCAATGGAAAATCCCCAGGATTGGGATCGGGATCCCACTGGAAAATCACTGGGATTGGAGTCAGGATCCTGAGTGGATTCCAATGGAAAATCCCCAGGATTTGGGTCAGGATCCTGAGAGGATCCCACTGGAAAATCCCTGGGATTGGGGTTGGGATCCCAAAGGAAAATCCCTGGGATTGGGGTTGGGATCCCAAAGGAAAATCCCAGGGATTTGGGTTGGGATCCCAAAGGAAAATCCCAGGGATTGGGGTTGGGATCCTGAGTGGATTCCAACAGAAAATCCCCGGGATTGGGATCCTGATGGAAAATCCTTGGGATTTGGGGTTGAGATCCCCGTGTCCCCAGGTGCCCACGGTGGGCCAGAAGCGCAGTGGCTGTGACAGGGCCTTGTCCCTGACCCTGTGTCCCATTGTCCCCGTGTCCCCAGGTGCCCACGGTGGGCACTGCCAGTGGTGGCCAGAGGAGCTGGACAAGGGCAGGCAGGGCCTGTACTGAGCCCTGTACTGACCCCATGTCCCACTGACCCCATGTCCCATTGTCCCCATGTCCCTGTGACCCCATGTCCCCTATTGGTGTCCCCAGGTGCCCATGGCGGGCCGGAAACGTGGCACTGATGGTGCCAGTGGTGGCCAGAGGAGCCGGACAAGCGCAAGCAGGGCCTGTAGTGACCCCATGTCCCACTGACCCCATGTCTGACCCCATGTCCCATATTGGTGTCCCCAGGTGCCCATGGCGGGCCAGAAACGCGGCGCAGGCGGTGGCACTGCCAGTGGTGGCACAGGGTTGGTGCCGTGGCCCGAGGAGGCGGGCGAGCGCGAGCAGGGCCTGTACTGACCCTGTGTCCCATTGTCCCCATGTCCCATTGTCCCCATGTCCCACTGACCCCATGTCCCCAGGTGCCCATGGTGGGCCAGAAACGTGGCACCGATGGTGGCAGTGGTGGCCAGAGGAGCCGGGTGAGCGCGAGCAGGGCCTGTACTGACCCCATATCCCACTGACCCCTGTACTGACCCCATGTCTGACCCCATGTCTATCCCCATGTCCCCAGGTGCCCATGGTGGGCTGGAAGCGTGGCACTGGCAGTGCCAATGGTGGCAGTGGTGGCCAGAGGAGCCGGACAAGCGTGAGCAGGGCCTGTACTGACCCCATATCCCACTGACCCCATATCCCACCGACCCCATGTCTGTCCCCATGTCCCATATTGGTGTCCCCAGGTGCCCATGGCGGGCCGGAAGCACAGCACTGGCAGTGCCAATAGTGGCCAGAGGAGCCGGGCAAGCGCGAGCAGGGCCTGTAGTGACCCCATATCCCACTGACCCCACGTCTGACCCCATGTCCCATTGTCCCCATGTCCCCAGGTGCCCATGGCGGGCCGGAAGCGCGGCGCAGGCGGTGGCGGCGCCGGCGGTGGCACAGGGTCGGTGCCGTGGCCGGAGGAGCCGGGCGAGCGCGAGCAGGGCCTGTACTGACCCCATGTCCCATTGTCCCCCATGTCCCCAGGTGCCCATGGCGGGCCGGAAGCGCGGCGCAGGCGGTGGCGGCGCCGGCGGTGGCACGGGCGGCGCGGTGCCGTGGCCGGAGGAGCCGGTGCGAGCGCGAGCAGGGCCTGTACTCGCTGCACCGCATGTTCGACATCGTGGGCGCGCAGCTGACGCACCGCGACGTGCGCGTGCTCTCCTTCCTCTTCGTGGACGTGCTGGACGAGGCCGAGCGCGGCCGCATCCGCTCGGGCCGCGATTTCCTGCTGGCCCTGGAGCGCCAGGGCCGCTGCGACGAGAGCAACCTGCGGCAGCTGCTGCAGCTGCTGCGCATCATCACCCGCCACGACCTGCTGCCCTACGTCAGCCTCAAGAGGCGGCGCCCCGGTGAGTGCCTGGTGTGGTGATATGTCACGATATATTGTGATATATGGGGTGATATCGGGGTATTGGGGTGACATCATCACCCGCCACGAGCTGCTGCCCTATGTCAGCCTCAAGAGGTAGCACCTGGGGTGATATGTCACGATATATCGTGATATATGGGGTCACTGTCGCGATATACGGGGTGATATCGGGGTGTTGGGGTGACATCATCACCCACCATGACCTGCTGCCCTATGTCAGCCTCAAGAGGCGGCGCCCCGGTGCATGTCCACTGTGGTATATCACGATATATGAGGTCACTGTCGTGATTTATGGGGTCAGTGTTACTGTATGGAGGTATTGGGGTCACATCATCACCCGCCACGAGCTGCTGCTCTGCATCAGCCTCAAGAGGTGGTGGGTGCCCCGTTGAGCGTCTGTCACAATATGTCACGATATATCGCGATATATGGGGTCACTGCCACAGTGTACAGCGGTATTGGGGTCACACCATCGTCTGCCGTTCCCGGTGCCATTCCTGTGACATTCCCATTCCCGGTGCCATTCCTAGTGCCATTCCCATGCCATTCCCATTCCCATGCCATCCTGGAGACATTCCCATTCCCCGTGCCATTCCCATGCCATCCCGGTGCCATTCCCGGGACATTCCCATGACATTCCCATTCCCCGTGCCATCCCGGTGACATTCCCATTCCTGTTCCATCCCGGTGACGTTCCCATTCCTGTTCCATCCCGGTGACATTCCCATCCCGGTGACATTCCCATTCCTGTTCCATCCCGGTGACATTCCCATCCCGGTGACGTTCCCGTTCCCATGCCATCCCGGTGACATTCCCATCCCGGTGACATTCCCATCCCGGTGACGTTCCCGTTCCTGTGCCATCCCGGTGACATTCCCATCCCGGTGACATTCCCATCCCGGTGACGTTCCTGTTCCCGTTCCATCCCGGTGGCATTCCCATCCCGGTGACATTCCCGTTCCCGTTCCCAGTGTGCCCGGACCTGGTGGACAAGTACCTGGAGGAGACGTCCATCCGCTACGTCACCCCCCGCGCGCCCGGGGGGGCCCCGCCCGGCCTCGGCCACCCCCACAAATCAGGTACGGACCCCCTTTTGGGGTCACTGTCACCCCTTTTGGGGCCACTGTCACCCCCCTTTTGGGGCCACTGTCATCCCCATTTCGGGTCATCATCACCCTTTGGGGTCACTGTCCCCTTTTGGGGTCATTGTCATCCCCTCCTTTGGGATCATCACCCCCATTTGGGATCTTCCTTACTCTTCCCTTTGGGATCATTACTCCCATTTGGGGTCACTGTCCCCTCTTGAGATCATTGTCATTCCCATTTGGGATCATCGTCATCCTTTGGGGCCTCCTTCCCCATTTGGGGTCATCGTCACCCCCATTTGGGGTCATCGTCACCCTTTGGGGTCATTGTCACCCTTAGGGGTCATCACCTCCATTTGGGATCATCATCACCCTTTTGGGGTCACTGGCCCCCCATGGGATCATAGTTGCCCCCTCCTTTGGGGTCATCACCCCCATTTGGGATCATCACTCCCATTTGGGATCATCGCTCCCATTTGGGGTCACCACCGCCCTTGGGGTCATCCCAAAGTTCCTGACCCCAGAGCCTCCCAGGGCTCTGGGTTTGGGGGACTGTGCCCAGATCTGATGGATGGGTTTGGGGTTTCTGGGGTTGGATTTGGGGTCCCTGACTCCATTTCCCCCATATCCCAGTGCCTGCCCCCACCCATCCCTGGGGGAGGATGGGGTTTGGGATCTCTGGGGTTGGATTTGGGATCTCTGGGGTTGTATTTGGGATCTCTGACCCCATTTCCTCCCCCATGTCCCAGTGCCTGCCCCCCACCCGTCCCTGTGCTGCCCCCCGGGGGGGCCCCAGCTGGGCCCGAAGCGCCCGGGCCGGGCCCGAAGCCTCCTCGGGAGCCAACGGAAACGCAGGAAGTCAGCGACCCCCGACCCCAAGGAGAAACAGACCTGCGGTGAGAGGGGCTGGGAATGTGGGATTGGGAATATGGGATTGGGAATGTGGGATTGGGAATGTGGGATTGGGAATGTGGGATTGGGATCCCCAAGGAGAAACAGACCTGCGGTGAGAGGGGCTGGGAATATGGGATTGGGATTGGGAATGTGGGATTGGGATTGGGAATGGGATCCCCAAGGAGAAACAGACCTGCGGTGAGAGGGGCTGGGAATATGGGATTGGGAATGTGGGATTGTGGGATTGGGAATGTGGGATTGGGATCCCCAAGGAGAAACAGACCTGCGGTGAGAGGGGCTGGGAATGTGGGATTGGGAATGTGGGATTGTGGGATTGGGAATGTGGGATTGGGATTGGGAATGGGATCCCCAAGGAGAAACAGACCTGCGGTGAGAGGGGCTGGGAATGTGGGATTTGGAATGTGGGATTGGGAATGTGGGATTGGGATTGGGATCCCCAGGGAGAAACAGACCTGCGGTGAGAGGGCTGGGAATGTGGGATTGGGAATGTGGGATTGGGAATGTGGGATTGGGAATGGGATCCCCAGGGAGAAACCCACATTCTCCCAGTCCCTAAACCCCATTCCCCCAGTCCTAAACCCCACATTCCCCGACCCTAACCCCACATTCCCCCAATCCCAAACCCCACATTCCCTGACCCTAATCCCCCATTTCCCCAATCCCAAACCCCACATTCCCCAATCCCAAACCCCATTCCCCCAATCCTAATCCCCAATTTCCCCCAATCCCAACCCCCACATTCCCCAATCCCAAACCCCACATTCCCCGACCCTAACCCCCCATTTCCCCCAATCCCAAACCCCATTTCCCCAATCCCAAACCCCAATCCCCCAATCCCAAACCCCACATTCCCCGACCCTAACCCCCCATTTCCCCCAATCCCAAACCCCACATTCCCCAATCCCAAACCCCACATTCCCCAATCCCAAACCCCACATTCCCTGACCCTAACCCTCCATTTCCCAATCCCAAACCCCACATTCCCCAATCCCCAACCCCACATTCCCCGACCCTAACCCCCCATTTCCCCCAATCCCAAACCCCATTCCCCCAATCCCAAACCCCACATTCCCCAATCCCAACCCCCACATTCCCCGACCCTAACCCCCCATTTCCCCCCTCAATCCCAGACATCCGCCTGCGCGTGCGCGCCGAGTACTGCCAGCACGACTCCGCCCTGCACGGCAACGTCTTCTCCAACAAGCAGGACCCTCTGGAGCGCCAATTCGAGCGCTTCAACCAGGCCAACACCATCCTGAAATCGCGGGATTTGGGCTCCATCATCTGCGACATCAAATTCTCGGAGCTCACCTACCTCGACGCCTTCTGGCGGGATTACATCAACGGCTCCCTCCTGGAGGCCCTCAAGGGCGTCTTCATCACGGACTCGCTCAAACAGGCCGTGGGCCACGAGGCCATCAAGCTGCTGGTCAACGTGGACGAGGAGGATTACGAGTTGGGTCGCCAGAAACTCCTCAGGAACTTGATGCTCCACACGGCTCCCTGAGGGATTCACCCCCGTCCCCTCCCCGCCTTTCCCGCAGTTTTTTTTGAGGGTTTTTTTTGGGGGTTTTTCCTGGTTTTTTGTTTTCTCCTCTTCCACCCCCCGGGTTCTTCGGCGGAGCTCGCTCGTGGATTTGGGGAGGGTTGGAGGCGTGGGGGATTCCGGGATTCGGAGGTTTTTGGGGTTCCTGATGGGTTCTCCTTGTGTTTTCCATGGGGTTTTCCCCCTCCTGTTTTTTCTTTTGTATCCATTAAAAATGGTGATGAAAAGGCAAAAATCCCATTGGTGCGACACGCTGGGATTTGGGGGTGTGGAATATTCCAGAATTCCTCACTTTGCTCTGTCATTTCCTCCTTATGTTTTCCACATTTTCTCCTTTTCTTTATGTTTTCCATGTTTTCTTCCCATTTTCTTTCCTTTTTATCCATTAAAAATGGTGATGAAAAGGCAAAAACCCCATTGGTGCGACACGCTGGGATTTGGGGATTTGGGGTGTGGAATATTCCAGAATTCCTCACTTTGCTCTGTCATTTCTTTCTTCAATTTATGTTTTCCATGTTTTCTTCCTTTTTCTTTTTTTTCCATTGAAAATGGTGATGAAAAGGCAAAAATCCCATTGGTGCAACACACTGGGATTTGGGGATTTGGAATATTCCAGAATTCCTCACTTTTTTCCTGTCAATTCCTCCTTTTCTTTATGTTTTCCATATTTTCTCCCTATTTTTTTTCTTTTTTTTTCCATTAAAAATGGTGATGAAAAGGCCAAAATCCCATTGGTGGAACACGCTGGGATTTGGGGATTTGGGGGTGTGGAATATTCCAGAATCTCTCATTTTTTTTCTGACAAACTCTTCCCTCTTCTTGTGTTTTCCATGATTTTTCCTCATTTTCTGTTTTTCATATCCATTAAAAATGGCAAAAAGGCAAAAATCCCATTGGTGCAACACGCTGGGAATTGGGGATTTGAGGTTTGGGAAACCCCAGAATAACAGAATGTTCCAGAATTTCTCATTTTTCTCTGTCAATTCCTCCTTTCCTTTGTGTTTTCTGTGATTTTTTTCCCCTATTTTCTGTTCTTTTTTATCCATTAAAAACAGCAGGAAAAAGCCAGAATTGGGGATTTCAGGTGTGGGAAACATTGGAAAGATGGAATATTCCAGAATTCCTCATTTTCCTTTTCAAATTCCTTCTTGTGGTTTCCATGATTTTCCCTTCATTTTTCCCCTCTTTTATATCCATTAAAAACAACGAAAAGCAAATGGCAATTTCCCCCAAAATTTCCATTTTCCTCCCCAAATCCCCGTTTTTTCCCCCCAAAAATTCCCATTTTCCCCCAAAACCCAACATGGGATGGAGTTTTTCCCCATTTTTCTTGTTTTTCCCCCCATTCCCACCCAGGCACTTGGGGGGTTCAGGGTTGTCCCCAATCCCTTCCATCCCAAAATTCCTCCACACTTTGGGGTCATTTCCTGGGATTTTGTATTTTTCAAATTTTAATAGAAAGAAATTCCTCCCCCCCAGAACCCCTAAAAAAGGGGGAACCCCCCCCAAAAAATTGGAAATCCCATTTGGGGACAAAAGTGCTGATTGAGTGCAAATTTGGGCTGATTTGGGGTTGAATTGATGCAGATTTTGGGGTGAATTGGGGCAGATTTGGGGCTGATTTTGGGCTGATTCGAAGCAGATTTGGGGTTGATTTTGGGGCAGTTTCAGAGCAGATTTGGGACTCCCCCCAAAAAAATACGGGGACACTTTGTGCTGTTTCATTTTGGGGACAAAAATGCTGATTTGGACCACATTTGGTGTAAATTGGAGCTGATTTGGGGCAGATTCGGGGTCAATTTTGGGCTAAATTGATGCAGAATTGGAACAAATTTGAGGATGAATCGGGACCCCAAAAAAGAGTGGGGACCCCAAAAGGAGAGCAGGGAGGACATGTGGCATTTCATTTTGGGGACAAAAAGGGCAGATTTGGGACTGATTTGGGGGAAGATTTGGGGCTGAATTAGTGCAGATTTGGGACCCCAAAAAAAGAGAAGGGGGGGACATGTAGTGCCATTCCATTTTGGGGACAAAAAGGCAGATTTGGGACTGATTTGGGGCTAAATTGGTGCAGATTTGGGACCCCTAAAAATAGCAGGGAGGCCACATTGTGCCGTTCCATTTTGAGGATAAAAAGGGCAGATTTGGGGCCAATTCAGGGCTGAATTGGTGCAGATTTGGGACTGATTTGTGGGCAATTTGGGGCTGGATTAATGCAGATTTGGGACTGATTTGGGGGAATATTTGTGGCTGGATTAATGCAGATTTGGGACTGATTTGGGGCAGATTTGGGGCTGAATTGATGCAGATTTGGGGCAGATTTGGGGCTGAATTGATGCAGATTTGGGGCAGATTTGGGGCTAAATTGGTGCAGATTTGGGACCCTCAATAAAGTAAGGGGGACACATTGTGCCATTCCATTTTGGGACAAAAGGGAAGATTTGGAGCTGAATTGATGCAGATTTGGGATTGATTTGGGGGAATATTTGAGGTTGAATTAATGCAGATTTGGGACTGATTTGGAGCAGATTTGGGGCTGAATTGGTGCAGATTTGGGACCAAGTTGATGGAGATTTGGGACTGATTTGGGACCCCCAAAAAGAGCAGGGAGGACACATTGTGCCATTCCACTTTGGGGACAAAAAGGGCAGATTTGGAGCTGAATTGGTGCAGATTTGGAGCTGAATTGGTGCAGATTTGGGACTGAATTGGTGCAGATTTGGGGCTGAATTGGTGCAGATTTGGAGCTGAATTGGTGCAGCTTTGGGGCTGATTTGGGGCTGAATTGGTGCAGATTTGGAGCTGAATTGGTGAAGATTTGTGGGAGATTTGAGGCTGAATTGGTGCAGATTTGGGGCCGATTTAGGGCTGAATTGGTGCAGATTTGGGGCTGATTTGGGACCCCCAAAAAGAGCAGGGAGGACACATTCATTGTGCCATTCCACTTTGGGGACAGAACAGCAAACCCGGTGCAAATTCCGAGCGTGTCCCACCCACGCCCGGCGCCGTCACGTCCCCGGTGTCCCCGTGAGGGTCCCGTAGATGTCCCCACGGCGGTGGCCGTGCACGGGCAGGTCCCTGCGCACCTGCTCCAGGTAGGCCAGGTCGATGTGGGCCAGGCAGAGCCCTGGCCCCTGGTGGCACTGAGCCACCACGGTGCCCCAGGGATCGGCCACCAGCGAGTGACCGAAGGAGGCGCGGGTGGCGTTGTGGCGGCCGGTCTGAGCCGCGGCCACCACGTAGCACTGGCACTCGATGGCACGGGCACGCAGCAGCACCTGGGGGACAGTGGGGACACTGAGGGGGACATGGGCACACAGTGGGGTGTCACTAAAGGGGGACATGGGGCACTCGATGGCACGGGCACGCAGCAGCACCTGGGGGACAGTGGGGACACTGAGGGGGACGTGGGCACACAGTGGGGTGTCACTAAAGGGGGACATGGGGCACTCGATGGCACGGGCACGCAGCAGCACCTGGGGGACAGTGGGGACACTGAGGGGGATGTGGGCACACAGTGGGGTGTCACTAAAGGGGGACATGGGAGCACTCAATGGCACGGGCACGCAGCAGCACCTGGGGGACAGTGGTGTCACCAAGGGGGACATGGGGCACTCAGTGGCACGGGCACGCAGCAGCACCTGGGGGACAGTGGGGACACTGAGGGGGACGTGGGCACGCAGTGGGGTGTCACTAAGGGGGACACAGGGCACTCGATGGCACCCTGGCAGCACCTGAGGGGACAGCACTGTCACCAAGGGGGACATGGGGGCACTCAATGCCACCCTGGCAGCACCTGAGGGGACAGCACTGTCACCAAGGGGGACATAGGGGACACTCAATGCCACCCTGGCAGCACCTGAGGGGACAGCAGTGTCACCCATAAGGACGCTCAATGACACGGGCGTGCAGCAGCACCTAGGGGACAGCGTTGTCACCATGGGGGACACTCAATGGCACCCTGGCAGGGATATGGGGGGCATGGGCACACAGCAGCACCTGGGGGACAGCACTGTCACCAAGGGGGACATAGGGGACACTCAGTGGCAGCCTGGCAGCACCTGCAGGGACAGTGCTGTCCCCAAGACCCCCAGGGAGTCCCCAACTCCCCCATGGATGTCCCCAACCCCACCATGGGTGTCCCCAACTCCCCCCGTTGAGTGTCCCCAAGCCCCCCCAGGTGTCCCCAAGCCCCCCCAGGGGTGTCCCCAAGCCCCCCCAGGGTGTCCCCTCACCTCCCAGTGTGCAGCTCCAGTGGGGACAGTGAAGGCCGAGGGGAAGGTCAGGATTTGGGCCCCGGCCCCACGCAGGGCCTGGGCCAGCTCCGGGAACCGCAGGTCATAGCACACGGCCAGCCCCAGCTGGGGACAGGAGGGGACATTGGGGACATTGGGGACAGCCCTGGGCATGGGGCCAGCTCTGGGAACCGCAGGTCATAGCACACGGCCAGCCCCAGCTGGGGACAGGAGGGGACATTGGGGACATTGGGGACAGCCCTAGGCATGGGGCCAGCTCTGGGAAATGCAGGGCAGAGCACACGGCCAGCCCCAGCTGGGGACAGGAGGGGACATTGGGGACAGCCCTGGGTATGGGGCCAGCTCTGGGAACTGCAGGGCAGAGCACACGGCCAGCCCCAGCTGGGGACAGGAGGGGACACCTGGGGACACCCTAGGCATGGGGCCAGCTCTGGGAACTGCAGGGCAGAGCACACGGCCAGCCCCAGCTGGGGACAGGGAGGGGACATTGGGGACAGCCCTGGGGACATCCTGGGACAGCCCTGGGGACATGGGGAGGGTCAGGGCAGGGCCAGCTCTGGGTAGCACAGGCTGTAGCACTCAGCCAATTCCAGCTGTTCTTTGGGAATACCAGGGGTCAGCGAGGGCAGGGGACACCCTGGGGACACCTTGGGACACCCTGGGGACATTTGGGGACAGCCCTGGGCACTGTGGGGTCAGAGGTTGGGTTTAGGGCTGGGGTGAGGATTAGGGCAGGGCCAGCTCTGGGTACCACAGGCTGTGACACATGGGGTTTTTTGGGAATGCCAGGGATCAATGAGGGCAGGGGACACCCTGGGGACACTTGGGGACACTTGGGGACAGGGCCAGGGCCGTACCTTGCCCACGGGGGTGTCGATGGGGGGCAGCAGCTCCTGGCCAGGGTTGGTGAAGGAGCTCTCGCACAGCGCCGGCTGCCCCGGCAGCGCCGCGTCAAACAGGTGCAGCTTGCGGTACGCGGCCACCAGAGCACCTGGGGACAGCCACCGAGGGGTTGGGGACAGCCACAGGGGGCTGGGGACAGCCACCAGGGGTTGGGGACAGCTACAGGGGGTTAGGGACAGCCACCGGCACTGGGGACAGTGAGGACAGCCATGGGGATTGGGGCCCTTGGGGACAGCCATAGCAGAGGTTGGGGACACTGAGGACAGCCATGGGGATTGGGGACACTGGGGACAGCCATGGGGATTGGGGACATTGGGGACAGCCATAGCAGGGGTGGGGACAGCCACAGGGATTGGGGACAGTGGGGACAGCCATGGGGATTGGGAATGGTGCAGGTACGCGGCCACCAGCGCACCTGGGGACAGCCATAGCGGGGTTGGGGACAGTGGGGACAGCCACGGGGGTTTGGGGACTCTGGGTTCAGTCAGGGACAGTGGGGACAGCCAGGGGTTGGGAATGTTGGGGACCTGGGGGACACGGGGGTGGCACGGGGGTGGCACGGGGTCAGGAAGGCCGTGTCCCACCCGAGCTGTCCAGCAGCAGGTGACAGTTGTAGATCCGGCCGGTGCTGTCCCAGTCCTGGCCACGCTCGTGGAAACCCCCGAGGGAGAGCCACACGTCACATTCCCTGGGGACACAGAGGGACAAGGACTGGGGACATGGAGTGACAACCCCTGGGGACACAGAGGGACAGGGCCTGGGGACATGGAGTGACAACCCCTGGGGACACAGAGGAACATTCCCTAAGAAGACAGAGTGACAGTCCCTGGGGACACACCATCACATTCCCCAAGGACACGCGGTGACATTCCCTGGGGACACACAGTGACAGTCCTTAGGGACCCATGACAACACTCCCTGGGGACACGCCATCACAGTCTTTGGGGACACACGATGACATACACACAGTGACATTCCCTACGGACACATTGTCACATTCCCTAAGGACACACATGGTGACATTCCCTAGGGACACACAGTGACATCCCCTGGGAATTCATGGTGACATCCCCTGGGGACACAGAGTGACAGTCCCTAGGGACACACACGGTGACATTCCCTGGGAACACACCATGACATCCTTGGAGAATAGAGACATTACGTGGGGACATACAGTGACATTCCCTAGAGACACACAGTGATGCTCCCTAGGTACACACTGTCATTCCCTGGGGACACACACAGTGACATACACACAGTGACACTCCCTGGGGACACACTGCCATTCCCTAAGGACACACAGTGACATACACACGTGTCCCATTCCCTGGGGACACACTGCCATCCCCTGGGGACACACACAGTGCCATCCCCCGGGGACACGCAGGTGCCACCCGCAGCGTGGGTACCTGGCCAGCTGCCGGTAGCGCCCCACGGTGTCCCCGTGCAGTGGCTCTGCCAGCTCCAGGCTGTGCTGGGGACTGTCCCCGATGAAGTCGAAGCCCTCGGGCAGGAACACGGCCCTGGCCCCCATGGCCGCCGCGCGCCGCACCAGGGCCGAGCACTGCTGCCAGTTGTGCTCCTTGTCCCCCGTGGATGTCACCTGGGCCACCGCCACCAGCCCGCCCGGGGCGCCTGGGGACACTGAGGGGGCTGGGGGAGCTGCCATGGCTGTGAGGGACCTGGAGGGACAGGGGGACACCAATGAGTCTGGGGACAGCACGGGATCTGGGAGAGCTGCCATGGCTGTGGGGCTGTGGGGAGGGGACACCGTGAGGGACAGGGGGACACCAATGAGTCTGGGGATAGCACGGGGTCTGGGGGCGCTGCCATGGCTGTGGGGCTGCAGGGAGGGGACACCGTGAGGGACAGGGGGACACCAATGAGTCTGGGGACACTGAGGGGTCTAGGGGTGCTGCCATGGCTGTGGGGCTGTGGGGAGGGGACACCGTGAGGGACAGGGGGACACCAGCAGGCCTGGGGACATGGCCATGGCTGCAGGGAGGGGACACCGAGGGCACCTCATGGGGACGGGGGTCACCCCATGGGACACCTCAAAGGGATTGGGGTCACCCCACAGGCCATGCCCTTGGGGACAGGGACAGCGTGTCCATGGGGAGCAGGGTCACACTTGAACCCCCCACACACACACACCTGGGGTCACCCCCACGGTCACCCTCAGCCCCCCTTGGGGTTCCCATGGGGTTTCTGGGGTCCCCCTTGGGGTTTTTGGGGTTGTCCACAGGGTTTTTGGGGTTCCCCTCTGTACCTGCCCGCGGTGCTGGAGCTCTGGGGGGCTCTCGAGGCGCAGCACAGCAGGGCCCAGGGGGCCACCCTCAGCCTGGGAGGGGGGGACACCCAAATTGGGGAGGGGTCACACGGCTGGGGGGGACCTGGAACCCCCCAAAACTGCCCCTGAACCCCAGAACTACCCCAAACACCCCCAAAACTACCCCAGACCCTCTCAAACTACCCCAGGTATGACCCCAAACTGCCCCCTGACCCCCCAAATGCCCTCAGCTCCCCCAGTTTTGATCCCACAGTACCCCAGCCCCCCAAAAACTGCTACCAGATCCCCTCAAACTGCCCCAAACACCTCCCAAAACTGCCCCAAACACCCCCAAAACTACCCCAGACCCCCCCAAACTGCCCCAAACACCCCCAAAACTACCCCAGACCCCCTCAAACTGCCCCAAACACCCCCCAAAACGGCCCCAATTTGGACCCCAAACTACCCCCGCCCCCTAAACCGCCCCCAAATCCTCGCACCTCCGCCGTCCCCCCACCCCAAACTCTTTTTTCCCCCCACTTTTTCCCCGTTTTCCGCCCCCATTCCCGCACATTCCCCGCCGGCGGCAGCGCGGCCAAAGTCCCCCCCGCAGGCGCTGCCCTCACCCAAGATGGCGGCGCCGCCGCCTCACCCTCACTCAAGATGGCGCCCGGAAGTGGCGGCGGCGCGAGCGCGGCTTGAGCGGAAGGGGCGGAGCCTCGCCGGACAAGATGGCGGAGCCGGGGAAGGGGCGAGGAGCGGCCCCGGCGGGGAAGGGGCTGAGCGCCGAGCAGGTCAGGGAGAACCCGGAGATGGGGAGGGGTCCTCGGGAGCGGAGGAGTGAGGGGGAAGCGGAGGGGGTGGGCCTGGACGAGAGGAGAAGGTGGGGATGAGGGGGGGGATGGGGAGTGAGGGGGGGTCCCTGATAATGGGGAGGGGGTCCCTGATAATGGGGAGGGGGTCCCTGATGACGAGGAGGAGTCCCTTAATAAGAGGGGACGAGTCCCTGATAATGGGATGGGGAAATGGATGGGGTGGCCCTGGGCCTGAGGGGAAGGTGGGGAATGAGGGGGGGGGTCCCTGATAATGGAGGAGGGGTCTTTGATAATAAGGAGAAGACCCTGATAATGAGGGGGGGTCCCTGATAATGCGGAGGGGTTTCTGATAAGAGGGGAGAGGTCCTTGATAATGGGGAGGGGTCTCTGATAATGGGGGGCTGGGGTTGGGGAACAAGGGGGGGGCGCTGCTGTGGGGTTGGGGGGTTCCCCCTCATCCCAAGGGGCTCCCCAAGCCCCCAGTGGGATCCCAACCCCAATCCCAGGGGTTTATCCCAGTTTACCCCAGTTGATCCCAATCCAATCCCAGTTTACCCCAGTCTATCCCATTCCGAGCTTTCCAATCCCATTCCCAGCTCCCCAGTCCTGGTGTGTCCCAATCCCAGTTGATCCTAGTCTGATCCCATTCCCAGTTCCCCGATCGATCCCAGTTGATCCCAATGCAATCCCATTCCCAGTTTAGCCCAGTTTACCGTGGTTTATCCCAGTCCATCCCAGTTTATCCCGTTACCAGTTCCCCAATCCTGGTTTATCCCTATCCTAGTTTACCCCACACCGTTCGTGGTCTTATCCCAGTTGACCCCAGTGCCATCACAGCCCCCCTCAGTCCATCCCAGTGGCTCCCAGTTAACCCAGTTCTCATCCCAGTCGATCCCAGTCTCCCCCAGTGCCTCCCAGCCCATCCCATTGGCTCCCAGTTAACCCAGTTCCATCCCAGCCCCTCCAGTCTGTCCCAGTTGCTATCCCAGTCCATCCCAGTCCGTCCCAGTGATCCCAGTTTGGCTGCAGGTGGTGTCCCGGTTTAACCGCCTGCGGCAGGACCAGCGGGGTTTGGCCTCCAAGGCGGCCGAGCTGGAGCTGGAGCTCAACGAGCACACGTGGGTCAGGGGCTGGGGGGTTTGGGAGCGGGATTTGGGGGGTTTGGGGTCGGGTTTGGGGGATTTGGGGTCAAGGGTGAGGGGTTTGGGGTTGGGTTTGTGGGGTTTGGGTTTGGGATTGGGGAATTTGGGCTTGGGATTGGGGGGTTGGGTTTGGGGGATTTGGGGTCGGGATTGGGGGATTTGGAGTCAAGGGTGAGGGGTTTGAGGTCAGGGGTTTGGGGGGTTTAGGGTCCAGATTGGGGATGAGGATTTGGGGTCGGGATTTGGGGGGTTTGGGGTTGGGATTTGGGGTATTTGGGGTTGGGATTGGGATCAGGGGTTTGGGACAGGATTGGGGATTTGGGATCAGGGTTGGGGATGGGGGATTGGGGATTTGGGGTCAGGTTTGGGGGTTTGGGATTGGGGGGTTTAGAGCAGGGATTGTTGGTTTGGGGTCAGGGGTTCAGGGTCAGGACTGGGGGTTTAGAATGGGAACTGGGAGTTTGGGTTTGGGATTTGGGATGGAGATTTGGGGCAGATTTTGGGGTTGGGATTGGGGTGGGTTTGGGATGGATTTGGGACAGTGATTTGGAGTGGATTTGGGGTGGAGATTTGGGGTATTATATTTGGGGTGGAATTGGGACAGGGATTTGGGATAGGGATTTGGGGTGGATTTGGGATAGGGATTTGGGATGGATTTGGTGTGGATCAGGGTGTGTTTGGGGTGCATTTGGGGTATTTTTGGGGCGCATTTGGGACGCTGCCCCCGCTCTCCCAGGCTGGTGATCGAGACGCTGCGGGAGGTGGATCCCACCCGGAAATGTTTCCGCATGGTCGGGGGGGTGCTGGTGGAGAGAACGGTCAAGGAGGTGCTGCCCGCCCTGGAGAGCAACAGGGAGCAGGTCTGGGACCCCAAAAACACCCTGGGATCCGATAAAATCCCAATGGGATAGCCCCAAACCCACTGGGGTCCTGTAAAAACCCAATGGGATAGCCCCAAACCCACTGGGATCCAATAAAAACCCAATGGGATAGCCCCAAACCTACTGAGATCCAATAAAAACCCACTGGGATAGCCCCAAACTCACTGGGATCCCATAAAAACCCAATGGGATAGCCCCAAACCCACTGGGATCCCATAAAAACCCACTGGGATAGCCCCAAACCCACTGGGATCCCATAAAAACCCACTGGGATAGCCCCAAACCCACTGGGATCCCATAAAAACCCAATGGGATAGCCCCAAACCCACTGAGATCCCATAAAAACCCACTGGGATAGCCCCAAACCCACTGGGATCCCATAAAAACCCAATGGGATAGCCCCAAACCCACTGGGATCCCATAAAAACCCAATGGGATAGCCCCAAACCCACTGGGATCCCATAAAAACCCACTGGGATAGCCCCAAACCCACTGGGATCCCATAAAAACCCAATGGGATAGCCCCAAACCCACTGAGATCCCATAAAAACCCACTGGGATAGCCCCAAACCCACTGGGATCCCATAAAAACCCAACAGGGACCCCAAAAAATCTGCTGGGACCACCCCAAAAAAAATCTCTCGGGACCTTTCCCCCTTTTTTTTTTCTCTTATTTTTCCCTTTTCTCCCCCTTTTCCCCCCAAATCTCCAAGCTGATTTATTCTCTCTCTTTTCCCCTATTTCCCCTATTTCCCCTATTTCCCATTTTTCTCATTTTCCCCCCAAATCTCCAAGCTAATTGAGTTTCTCTCTTTTCCCCTATTTCCCCTATTTCCCATTTTTCCCATTTTCCCCCAGATCTCCACTCTAACCAAATCTCTCTCTTTTCCCCCATTTCTCTCAATTTCCAATTTTCCCATTTTTCCCCCAAATCTCCAAGCTGATTTATTTTCTCCCTTTTCCCCCATTTTCCCCATTTTTCCCCCCAGATCTCCACTCTAACCAAATCTCTCTCTTTTCCCCTATTTCCCCCATTTCCCCTATTCCCCTATTCCCCATTTTCCCCCTTTTTCCCCCCAGATCTCCACTCTAACCAAATCTCTCTCTTTTCCCCTATTTCCCCCATTTCCCCCATTCCCCATTTTTCCCATTTTCCCCCTTTTTCCCCCCAGATCTCCAAGCTGATTGAGTCTCTCTCTTTTCCCCTATTTCCCCTATTCCCCATTTTTCCCATTTCCCCCCAGATCTCCACTCTAACCAAGTCTCTCTCTTTTCCCCTATTTCCCCCATTTCCCCTATTCCCCATTTTCCCCATTTTTCCCCCCACATCTCCAATCTAACCAAATCTCTCCCTTTTCCCCCATTTCCCATTTTTCCCATTTTTCCCATTTTTCCCATTTTCCCCATTTCCCCCCCAGATCTCCACTCTAACCAAATCTCTCCCTTTTCCCCTATTTCCCCCATTTCCCATTTTTCCCCATTTTCCCCGTTTTTCCCCCCAGATCTCCACTCTAACCAAATCTCTCTCTTTTCCCCTATTTCCCCCATTCCCCCCATTCCCCATTTTTCCCATTTTCCCCCTTTTTCCCCCCAGATCTCCAAGCTGATCGAGGCCCTGGCTCAGCAGCTGCAGGCCAAGGGCCGGGAGCTCTCGGAGTTTCGGGAACGCCACAACATCCGCCTGGTGGGGGAGGACGACCCCAAATCCGCCCCCAGGGACGGCCCCGAGGGGGGCAAGGGGGGTCCCGGGGGGGTCTTGGTGTCCTGACCCCCCCCAAAAATTCCCAGAGGGATTTGGGGGCGTTTCAAGGGGGGGTTTGGGTAATAAACAGGAGTTTGGGACAATCCCCGGGTCGGTTTTTATGGGAAAAGGGGGAAAAAGGGTTTGGGGTGAGGGGAGGGGGGAAATGGGAGAGCCCCAAATAAAGGGGGGGAAGGGGGAGCCTAAAAACGGGGGGTGGGACCCCAAATGTTGGGAGATGGGACCTAAAATGGGGGGAAAACGGGGACCCCAAAATGGGGAGAGGGGACCCTAAAAATGGGGCAGGGAGTCAAAAATGGGGAAAAAAGAGGACCCCAAAAATGGGGGCTGGGACCCCAAAATGGGGGAAAAGGGCATCCTAAAAATGGGGGGTGGGGACGCCAGAAATGGGGAAAAAAGAGACCCCAAAAATGGGGGGTGGGACCCAAAACGGGGAAGAAAAGGGGGCCCTAAAAATGGGGGGTAGGACCCCAAATGTGGGGGGTGGGACCCAAAAAAGGGGATCCCAAAATGGGGAGAAGGGACCTCAAAGATGGGGGCTGGGACCCCCAAATCGAGGGGAATGGACCCCAAAAAGGGGAGGGTGTTGGGGTTCAAGGGGGGGACACAGCAGGGAGGTGACAAGGCCATGGGGGTGACAAAGAGAAGGGGGTGACAAGGCCATGGGGGTGACAAGGACATGGGGGCAGTGACAAAGGGAAGAGGGTGACAAGGACACATCAAGGAGGTGACAAGGCCATGGGAGGTGACGAGGCCGTGGGGGGAATGACAAAGGGAAGGGGGTGACAAGGACATGGGGGTGACAATGGCATGGGGAGAGTGACAAAGGGAATGGGGTGACAAGGACATGGGGGTGACAATGACATGGGGAGAGTGACAAAGGGAAGGGGGTGACAAGGCCATGGGGGTGACAAAGAGAAGGGGGGTGACAGGGCCATGGGGGTGACAATGTCATGGGGGGAGTGACAAAGGGAATGGGTGACAAGGACATGGGGGTGACAATGGCATGGGGAGAGTGACAAAGGGAATGGGGTGACAAGGACGTGGGGGTGACAATGACATGGGGGGAGTGACAAAGGGAATGGGGTGACAAGGACGTGGGGGTGACAATGACACGGGGATGATAAAGAGAAGGGGATGAAAAGGCCGTGGGGGTGACAAAGAGAAGGGGGTGACAAGGACGCAGCAGGAAGGTGACAAGGACACCCACACCGTGTCCCCGTCACCCTGGGCCGGGCCGTGCCGGTGTCACCCGGAGCTGTTGACTGCACACAGTGCCACACCCGCACTGGCCCTGTCACCGGAGCCAGCCGGTGTCACCCCCTGTCCCCGCGGTGTCCCCGGGGGTGGGGACACGGCCGCTGGTGCCACACCTGCGGTGGTGGCCCTGTCCGGTTGTCACCGGCACCCGGGGCCATTTAACGGCGGTGGCAGCGCGGGCGGCGGGGAGGGGACACGGGGACAGCATGGAGGGGACACGGCTGGAGGAGCGCGAGAGCCTGGTGGGGGCCGTGCATGGCGTGTCCGGGCCCGGTACGGTGACACTGGGGACACCTGGGGACAGGCACAGCCCGGGGACAGCTTGGGGACAGCAGGGGGTGGGGACACGGTGGCGTTTGTGGCGCTAAATTGGGGACAGGAGAGGGGACAATGGAGGGAGACAGAGGGACAGGAGAGGGGACAATGGGGGGGACAAGGGAGAGGGAACAATGGGGGGTAGCACTTGGGGAGGGGACAGGAGGGGGGACAATGCGGTGGGACAATGGGGACCAGAGGGACAGGAGAGGGGACAATGGGGGGGAGCACTTGGGGAGGGGACAATGGGGAGGGGACAGGGTTGGGAACAGGAGGGGACACCCTGGGGACAGAGGGACAGCCGGGAATGGGGATCCCGATGGCGTTTGTGGCACGAAAATGGGGACAGGAGAGGGGACAATGGGGAGGGGACAAGGGCGGGGGGGAGCACCTGGGGAGGGGACAATGAGGAGGGGATGGAGTTGAGAACAGGAGGGGACATCGTGGGGACACCCTGGGGACAGAAGGAATGGGGATCGCGATGGCGTTTGTGGCACTAAAATGGGGACAGGAGAGGGGACAATGGGGAGGGGACAGCGTGGGAAAGCACCCGGGGGTGGTCGTGGGGAGGGGACAGGGATGGGGACAGAGGGGTCCCGCTTGGGGTGGTGACCCCGGTGACAAGGGGGGGGGATGGCAGGGGGTGGTGGCCCGGAGCCGGGGTGACAGCGGCGTGTCCCCGCAGTGGTGACAGCCACGCGCATGGCGGGGGCGGCCATGTACGAGCTGGTGCGGGTGGGACACGCGGAGCTCGTGGGGGAGATCATCCGGCTCGAGGGGGACATGGCCACGCTCCAGGTGTACGAGGAGACCTGTATCCTGTCCCCGCTGTCCCCTCCCTGCCACCCCTCTGTCCCTCCGACCGCCCCGCCCTGTCCCCGCCGTCCTCTGCTGTCCCCTCCCTTGTTCCCCCGAGCCTCTGTCCTGTCCCAGCCGGCTCTGTCCCCTCCCTTCTGCCCTGTCCCCTCCCCGTCCTCCCCACCCTCCCTGTCCCCTCCCTGTCAGCCCCATCCTGTCCTGTCCAACCCCCCTGTCCTGTGCCCTCTGTCCCCCGTCCTGTCCCCTGTGTCCTGTCCCCCCTCCGTGCCCCCAGCCTGTCCTGTCCCGCTGCCCCCCCGTGTCCCCGCTGTCCTCACAGTCCCCGTGTCCCCCCCGGTTCTCGTGTCCCTGTTGTCCCGCCTGCTCCCCGCATCCCCCTCGTGTCCCCGCTATCCCGCCCGGTCCCCGTGTCCCCGCTGTCCCCCTCGTGTCCCACCGGTCCCCGCGGTCCCCGTGTCCCCCCCGGTTCTTGTGTCCCTGTTGTCTCGCCTGCTCCCCGCTGTCCCTCTCGTGTCCCTGCTATCCCGCCCTGTCCCCGCTGTCCCCCCGGTCCCCGTGTCCCCCCGGTCCCCGTGTCCCGCCGGTTCCCGCGTCCCCGCTGTCCCTGCAGTCCCCGCTGTCCCTGCAGTCCCCGTGTCCCCGCTGTCCCCCCGCTGTCCCCCCGTGTCCCTCCGGCGGTGACATTCCTGAGCGGCCGCAGCGGGGGTGCAGGTTGGGGACCCGGTTCGGCGCACGGGGACGCCGCTCTCGGTGGAGCTGGGCCCGGGCATCCTGGGCTCCATTTTCGACGGGATCCAGCGGCCGCTGCGCGACATCGCCGAGGCCACGCACAGCATCTACATCCCGCGGGGCACCAATGTCCCCGCGCTGCCGCGACACCTGGACTGGGACTTTGTCCCCAGCAAGAACCTCCGGGTGCGTGCCCCCTCCCTGGCACCTCCCTGTGTCCCCGTCCTGTCCCTTTGTCCCATCTCTGTCCTGTCCCCCCTTCCCCATCCGGCTTCCCAGGCTCTCTGTCCCCTCCCCTGTCCCCTTGTTGTCCCCTCCCCGCCCTGTCCTGTCATCCCCTCTGTCCCCTTGTTGTCCCATCCCCGTCCATTCCTGCCATCCCCTCTGTCCCCTCCCTGTCCCCTCCCTGTCCCCTCCCTGTCCCCCCTGCCGAGGAGGAGACCCCAAAAAGGGAGTGGGGACACAGTGACAGAGAGGACATAGGAACGGAGGGATGCGGGGACGTTGGGGACACAGGGACATGGGGGACTCGGGGACACGGGGGTCACAGCCGCGGGGACATGGGGGGACACAGGGGACATTGGGGGGGACACAGGGACAGTGAGGATGCAGGGACATGAGGACACGAAGGTGGCAAGGACGTGGGGACAGGGGTCACACAGGGGGACACGGCGGGACACGGGCACCGCCGTTGTCCCGGCAGCCGGGGCGGGGGGCGCGGAGCCGCCCGGGGGTCGCTGACGGTGTCGCCGCCGTGTCGCCAGGTCGGGAGCCACGTGACAGGAGGGGACATTTACGGCTCGGTGGCGGAGAATTCGCTGCTGCAGCACCGGCTGATGGTCCCGCCCCGCAGCCGCGGCACCGTCACCTACATCGCACCCCCCGGGCACTACAGAGTGACGGTGAGCGGCACCGGGACCGGCACCGGCACCGGGACTGGCACCGGGACTGGCACCGGGACCGGCAACGGGACCGGCGGGATCGGGGTCGGGATCAGCGGGATTGGGATCGGGATCAGCGGGATCGGAGTCGGAATTAGCGGGATTGGGATTGGGGTCGGGATCAGGATCGGGATCATTTGGATCAGCGAGATTGGGATCGGGATCAGGATTGGGATCGAGGGGAGCGGGGTCGGGATTAGCGGGATTGGGGTCGGGATCAGCGGAAGTGGGGTTGGGATCAGGATCGGGATCATTGGGACCAGTGGGAGTGGGGTTGGGATCACTGGGATCGGGGTAGGCGGGGTGGGGGCCGGGCAGGGTGTCCCGAGCTGATCCCGGTTTGATCCCGGGCCGAACCCGGCTACCCCCAGCTGATCCCAGGCTGATCCCGGCTCCTCCCGGGCTGATCCTGGGCTGGTCCTGGCTGATCCCGGGCTGATCCCGGGCCAGTCCTGGCTGATCCCGGGCTTATCCCGGGCCGGTCCTGGCTGATCCCGGGCTGATCCCGGGCCGGTCCTGGCCGATCCCGGGCTGATCCCCACCGATCCCGCAGGACGTGGTGCTGGAGCTGGAGTTCCAGGGGGTCCGTGAGCCGCTCTCCATGATCCAGGTGTGGCCGGTCCGGCAGGTCCGGCCCGTGGCCGAGAAGCTCCCGGCCAATCACCCCCTGCTGACCGGCCAGAGGGTCCTGGACGCGCTCTTCCCGTAGGGAACAGGAACAGGATCGGGACTGGGATCGGGACTGGGATGGAGATCGGGA